ACTGATTACATTCATAGGGTTTCTCTCCAGTATGTGTTCTTTTATGCTTTTGAAGATTACTGTGACGTGCAAAGGTCTTACCACATTGATTACATACATAAGGTTTCTCTCCAGTATGTCTTCTTTTATGCATTTGAACATAACTGTGATAAGAAAAGGCTTTACTACATTGACTAGTTTCATAGGTTTTCTCTCCAGTATGTGTTCCTTCATTCCATTTAAGGTAAGTGTCATATGTCAAGGGTTTACCACATTGACTATATACAGAAAGTTTCTCTTGAGTTTGAATTCTTTCAATCCTGCAAGGATAATTGGCACATATAAAAGTTTTACCATATTCAGCACATACTGTACATACACATTTGAATGAATTAATGTTACAATATGTACTAACTGTAAAGAGAAATCAGATCGTGAGTTTTTATAACTGTATCTAAACTTAAGTTTTGCTCTTTAATTAGGGGTTGTCTTGCAACTCTGAAAATACCTTTGATGGTAAATTCCTTTCTTTCATGGCTTACCTTTTCTTCTTTACAGATTTTTTTCTATATGGTATTTTACACATATTGGAGAACTGGATAAACTCGGGGTTTTACCAACTTTATTGCAATCATAAATTCTCCTATACTGTGAATGTGATTACATTTGCTATGTGAACTGGGGCACCCAGAAGTATTTGCACAGTTCTAGAACTCATAGAGATTTTTTGCAGTGTGAGTTTGTTCACATATTAACAATGACGGTAGAAAACCAATTACTTGTATACTTGAATCAAATGCAACAATTATACTCTACATGGGGAATACTGCTTATGTTCTAATTGTTCTTAGAGAGTGGTATGCTACATCTCACTATATCCCTATGCTCATACGCTTGTATCAAGATTAACATATGGTACACGTAGTATAGACGAATGACAAATACAAGATTTCCACATTGAATCCTCAGGATTTACTTGCTGTTCCTCATAGACTTGTGGTATAGGTATAGGTATTAAGGTTTCTCCACAACCCCTTGACTTTTGACTCTGCCTCTCTCACTAAACTTAGTACAGTCACAAGAAGTATATGAATAATACAAGATTTACAATGGGATACTGGTTTAGTAGAAAGTTTTGCAGATATACAAATTATTTATACAAATATATACATATTTATGTACATACAAATATATATAATATAAATACAAAAATATTATCATTTCTTTAATGTGTATGCCTTTTTAATAGAGTAGCAAGAAATAAATGGATTCAAAGATTTATAATAAAGCTCTTATGGTGCTGTGCCTCAAATGGTGATATCTATTTAGGCATTGCTTTCTTGACTTCTTTTTAAAAAGAATGTCATTCAAATGCAATTCACATACACAAAATACAGATTTGTGAGAATCTAATGACCATTGATGCACTTAGAGCTCTGCTTATTTACACTGTTGTTTTTGTTTAAAGCTTTCAGGACACATTACAATTTCATCAGAGGCACATTATTATCAGCTTTCAAGTGAAAATTACCTTTCATATCTTCTAGAACACTGACAATGTTCTTCACTATTATGGTCTTTCCAAATGTATCCTAAAATATAATACCACAAAATATATATTATATTTTTGAATATTGTGCAATAATGTTACTATCTTAAGAGAACCTTAGAACTATGACTCATTTTTTCACCTCATTATTCTTCTTTCTAAATCAAATTACAGAAGAACATTATTAACCAAGGAAAAGTTGTCCCCTTATTTTGAAACATGAAGGAAATTCATTTTTACCTATAATAGTGAGGTTCCTGTAGGTTTCCAGCATTACATCTTTGTAGAGATTCTTCTGGGAAGGATCCAGCAAATTCCACTCTTCCCAAGTGAAGTTGATATGCACATCATCATAGGTCACTGCCGTCTAAAATATTTCATTAATGTGTATAATAAAAAGCATGATGGTGACAACATTGTAAATGAATAATTCTTTGACAGCATAGTCATATAATTCTGTTGTTCCCAACTCTTATTCCATGACACAGACAGACACTTCAGAAGAAAATTGAATAGGAGAGTTGCCTCTGTCACTTCTGTATACTTTGAATGGGATATCACTTACAAGGAACTGTCTATTAACAAAGAGAGACAAGGAAACAGATCATCAGGACATAGTAGGCATAAAAAAATAGTATGAAGAAATACTAATTACAAAAAAGAAAAATACAATGGACAAACTGGGTATATTGACTCATGCATGTAAGTGCAGCACTCAAAAAGCACAGGTATATTTGTCTCTGAGTTGAATGCCAGCCAAGTCTATGGAATTATATCCAAGTCAGGTGGAAGTACACATTAAGACAGTGTCTCCATTGCAAAAATCAGTGAAACAAACAAATCAGATAGAAGAATTCAGAGGGTTTTACTGAAGTTCCTACAAAGAGTACTGCATTCACGTCAGTTCTGTATTCATCTTGCAGAGACATCTGAAGTGCCCAAATTAAAACTGTAATGCCAGTAGCATTTTATGAGAGGAAACTTCATGTTTAAAACAGTTACAAATGGATAGTTGAAAATATTAGCAAAAAATGTTGGGCATAAATAATGAACACAGATTATATGTTAAATAATGGAGAGATGGCTGAGTAGTACTGACCTCTTGTTCTTGAATAGAGGTGGGCACAACTGACAGTACTTACATGGGGATCACAATTATACATTATTCCAAGTTCAGGATCTGAGATGCTTTGATCACTCTGAGGACTAGGTACCCATATGGTGCATATCCATGCAGACACATAAAATACTCATAATGAGTAAAAAAAATTTAAAGCAAGCATAATAAGCAGGAAGACATTCATGCACGCACAATTCAATGACTCTGAATGCTCAGGCAGTATTAATGTCATGAATACATGACATCCTGGGACAGAGAATGATATGCTCTCTCAAATTTTCAAATTCAAAATATGCATGAGGCTGAGCACAGTAGCATACACTTGACATGTAAAAAACCTACATTCCAGGGTCATCACTCAATGACAAGTAAGGAATGATGTCCCCCTTTACTTTCAGGAATTTGTAGCCACACTTCAAGGGTTACTCAGAAAAGCAAACAAAACAATTTAAACTGCAGGCTACCAAACCCCTTAGCACTGAATAGCAACTGTTTCTGCTCTATCTAATGTGATTTAGTGATTGTGCCTATACTGATGGTAAAAGAATTTTAGTATGACTAGGAAATTAGCTGTTTAATTTCAACCACAACACAGTAGATAAAAGGTCGGGAAATTAGTTGACGGTATTGAGACACATCACATAAAATGAGGAATTTCATCCAGAAAGGCTTATCCTAATAAAGGTTCACAGGAAATTGAAAGAAAGCCACCAAGAAGAGAAACTTGTTCAAGTACATGATCTTCTCTGGGAGGCTGTTCATTCAATGAAGTACACTATGACCCGGGTCACTATTGGTTCATAGTCAACAATGTAAAATTGCATTTAGGGGTGAACTCCATGAGAGCAGGAGAGGATTCAGACCAGCATCATTTGCAGAAGCAGGACTGGGTTAGGGACAAAGGCCAGAGCAGGCCAGAGGTGGTGAGCTCCATGGAAGTGAAACTGAACTAGCTAACTAGGCTAGAATTATACCTGACTTTTCATTAGAGACAATGAAAGCCAGAAGTTCACGTTCAAGCATTATGCTGACATTAAGAGACCATGGATGCAAGCACAGATGATGATACCTAGCAAAACTTTTACCACCATAGAAGGACAAAACAAGATATTCCATGACAAAACATTAACCAATACCTAGCCACAAACCCAGTCCTACACAAAATACTAGAAGGAAAACTCCAACCCAAAAAAGTTGACAATATCAAAAAGAACCCCACAGAAAATTGATAATCCCATAGAAGCAAATCCCAAAGAAGGGGAAAACGCACAAATTAACCTCACCAACAATTAAAGCTAAATTAACAGGAGATAGCAATCACTGGCCATTAATATCCCTTAATATAAATGGACTAAACTCACCTATAAAAAGGCACAGGCTAACAGATTGAATACAAAACCAGAATCCATCCTTCTTCTGCATACAAGAAACACATCTCAACCTCAAAGACAGACATCATCTAAGAGTAAAGGGTTGAGAAAAAATATACCAATCAAATGAACCTAAGAAGCAAGTGGGTATAGCTATCCTAATATCTAACAGAATCTACTTCAAACTAAAATAAATCAAATGAGACAAAGAAGGACATTTCTTATTAGTCACAGGAAAAATCTATCGTGAGGAAATATTAATACTGAACATCTATGCCCCAAATACAAGGGCACCCTCATATGTAAAAGAAACACTTCTAAGCCGGGCAGTGGTGGCACACACCTTTAATTCCAGTACTCAGAAGGCAGAGGCAGGCTGATCTATGTGAGTTCTAGGCCAGCCTAGTCTACAGGAGTTACTTTCAAGACAGGCTCCAAAGCTACAGAGAAACCCTGCTTGTCTCAAAAAACCAAAAAAAAGCCCCAAAGAAACACTTGTAAAGTTTAAATCATACATTAAACCCCATACACTAGTATAGAACCTAACTAGCACAGACAATAAGAGCAGCAATAAACAAATGGGACCCCCTGAAACTGAGAAGCTTATGTAACACAAAGCACCCAGCCAATAAGACAAAAAGGCAGCCTACTGAATGGGAAAAGATCTTCATCAACCCCATATCAGACAAAGGTCTGATCTGTAAAATATATAAAGAACTCAAGAAATCAAACATTAAAATTTGAAATAACCCAATTAAATATCATGTAATGAACTAAAGGAAGAATTCTCAACAAAATTTCAAATGGCCAAAAAATACTTAAGGGCATGTTCAACTTCCTTAACTATCAGGGTAATGCAAATCAAAACAACTCTGAGATACCAACTTACACATGTCAGAATAGCTAAGATCAAAAATACTAATGATGACTTATGATGGAGAGGATGTGGAGTAAGGGGAACACTCATCCATTGCTGGTGGGAATGCAAACTTGTGCAACCACTTTGAAAATCAGTGTGGCATTTTTTCAGAAAACTGGGAATCAACCTATGTCAGGATGCAGCAATACCACTCTTGGGAATATACCCAAAAGATGACCAATCATACTACAAAAGCATTCGTTCAACTATGTTCAAGCAGTATTATTTGTAATAGCCAAAAACCCGTTAACAACCTAGATGCCCCTCAACTGAAGAATGGATAAAGAAAGTGTGGCACATTATAGTACTACTCAGCAGTGAAAAACAATGACATCTTGAATTTTGCATGCAAATGGATGGAATTAGAAAACACTATCCCGAGTGAGGTAACCCAGACCCCCCCCCAAAAAAAACAAATATGGTATGTACTCACTCATTAGTGGATTCTAGCCATAAACAAAGGATATTGAGGCCTATGGTTCATGATCCCAGAGAAGTTAAGTGATAAGGTGAACCCAAAGAAAAATATAAATATACCCACCTGGATATTGGAAACAGACAAGGTTGTCAGACAAAATTTGGGAGCATTGGGGCAGGGGGTAGAAGGAAGGGGAGAAGAGGAGTGTTGAGGAGAACTTGAGGAAATGGGGTAGTTGAGATGAAAGAAGGAAAGATATGAAAGCAAAAAAAGAGATATCTTAATTGAGGGAGCCATTGTGGGGTTAGCAAGAAAACTGGCTCTAGAAATATGCCCAGGAGTACACAAGGACAACTCCAGCTAAGACCCTAAGCAATTGAGGAGAGGGTGTCTGAATAGTAGTTAGACTGATGATTATCTTGAATGTCACCATAGAGCCTTTGTCCAACAACAGAGGGAGACAGAGGCAAAGACCCATGTTGGAGCACTGGACTGAGCTCCCAAGATCCAGTTGAGAAGTGGAAGAAGTCAGAGTATGAGAGGGGAAAGTCAAGATCATGAAGGGTTTGTCCACTGAGACAGTGTGCCTGAGTTAACAACTGGACTGGGAGTGAGAGAGTATAGGAACAAATTCGTCTCTCTGAATGTGGTAGACAGTTGGGACAGACTGGGGGCCAATGATACTGATACTGGAATTTGTCTCTACTCATGTACTGGCTTCTTGGAATCCTGTTCTATTTGGAGGTATACCTTACTTGGCCTTGATATAGTGGGGAGGGCCTTGGACTTACCATAAGGCCAGGTGCATTGCCCTCTCTTGGGATTGAAGGGGGTGGGATGGGAGGGTGTGGGAGGGAGTGGAAAAAGAGTGAAAGAAGGGGAGAGAGTGGGAATTTGGATTGGTATACTTTTTTGGGTAATAAAATAAAAAAATAAAGTTGTGTTGTGCCATTTCATTAAATTAGGTTTATATAAGACTTCCTTTGCTACAATAAATATCTGAGGTTTCTGTTTATTTTCTATATATAACAAATTAAATTATTATAAAAATAAAATATTGTACATAATAAGCACATCATATATTATATTAATATGTGATTTTATATATTATTATGCTATGTAAAAAATAATAAAAAAATAAACTCCACACATTAATAATGGGAGACTTCAACAATCCACTCTCACTACTGGACAGGTCAGTCAGACAAAAAAAATGAACAGAGAGATAAGGAAAGTAACAGATGCTATAACTAAAATAGACTGAACAGATATCTATAAAATATTCCATCCATACATGAATGAATATCCCTTCTTCTCAGCACCTCATGGAACCTTCTCAAAAATCGACCACATACTTGGTAACAAAACAAACCTCAACAAATACAAAAAATTGGAATAACCCCATGTATCTTATCAGACCACAGTGGATTAAAACTAGAATTCAACAGCAATACTAATTCCAAAAAGCCCACAAACACATGGAAATTAAACAATGCTCACCTGAATCATCAATGGGTCAATGAAGAAATTAAGGGAGAAATTAAAGACTTCCTAAAATTCAATGAAAATCACCACACAACCTACCCAAATTTATGGGACACAATGAAAGCAGCATTAAGAGGAAAGTTCATAGCATTAAATGCCTAAATAAAGATGCTGGGAAAATCCCACACTAGTGAATTAACAGAATATTTGAAAACTTTAGAACAAAAAGAAGCAAACTCAATCAAGAGAACTAGATGGCAGGAAATAATAAAATTGAGAGCTCAAATCAACTAAATAGAAACAAAGAAAACAATACAAAAAAAATCAATGAGACAAACAGTTGGTTCTTTGAGAAGACCAAAAAATAGACAATCCTTTATCCAAAGTAACCAAAAGGCAGAGAGAGAATAATCAAATTAACAAAAACAGAAATGAAAAGTGGGAAATAACAACACACATGGAGGAAATACAGGTCATATTTCAAAAAATTGTACTCCACAAAATCAGAAAACTTAAAGGAAATAGACAACTTCCTGATAAATACCACTTACCAAAAATAAATCAAGACCAGATAACCAAACTAAACAGACCTATAACTGCTATAGAAATAGAAACAGTCATCAAAAGTCTCCCCATTAAAAAAATCCCCAAACCAGATGGTTTCAGCTCAGAATTCTACAAGATTTTCAAAGAACTAATACCAATACTCCTCAAATTATTCCATACAATAGAAACAGAAGGAACACTGCCAAACTCTTTTTATGAGGCTACAATTACCCTGATACCCAAACCACAGAAAACCATTACTAAGAAAGAGAATTACACCAATCTCACTCATGAATATTGATACAAAAATACTTAATAAAATACTGGCAAATCGAATTCAAGAACACATCAGAACCATCATCCACCTTTATCAAGTTGGCTTCATCCCAGAGATGCAGGGAATGATTCAACATACAAAAATCTGTGAATTATATGTAAACCACCATATAAACAAACTGAAAAATAAAAACCACATGATGATCTAATTAGATGCTGAAAAAGCTTTAAACAAAATACAACCTCCCTTCATAATAAAGATCTTGGAGAGAGTAGGGATAGAAGAAATATACCTACACATAAAAAAGGCAATATACAGCAAGCCAACAGCAAATTAAATGGAGAGAAACTCCCAGTGATTACACTGAAATCAGGAACAAGACAATGTTGTCCACTCTCTTCATATCTATTCTTGAGGTTATAGCTAGAGTAATAAGACAAGAAAAGGAGATCAAGGGGATACAAATCAAAAAGGAGAGGGCAAACTCTCACTATTTGCTGATGATATAATAGTTTCCTTAATAGATCCCAAAAACAACACCAAGGAACTTGTACAACTCACAAACAATTTTAGTAATGTAGCATGATACAAGATTAACTCAAAAAAATCAGTATCCCTGCAGTACACAGATAATAAAAGGGCTGAGAAAGACATCAGAGAAATATCACCTTTCACAATAGCCACAAATAGCATAAAATATCTCAGAGTAACTCTAACCAAACAAGTAGAAAACTTGTATGACAAGAACTATAAATCTTTGAAGAAAGAAATTGAAGAAGACACCAGATAGTAGAAAGATCTTCCATGCTCTTGGGTAGGTAGAATTAGGATAGTAGAAATGGCAATCTTACCAAAAGCAATCTACAGATTCGTTGCAATGTCCATCAAAATCCCAGCAAAATTCTCACAAACCTCAAAAGAATGGTAGTCAACTTCATTTGGAAAAGCAAAAACCCAGGATAGCCAAAACAATCTTGTTAAATAAGAAATTCTGTAGGCACCACAATCCTAGACTTCAAACTCTACTACAGTGCTACAGTACTGAAAACAGCCCGGTATTGTGATAAGAAGAGACAGGAGAACCAACAACACTGAATAGAAGACCCAGATATTAATCCACACACCTTCGAACACCTGATTTTTGACAAAGAAGTGAAGAGTGGCCTTGGCAAAGATAACCATTGCTCCATGTGGTGGGAAGAGTTGGGTTCTCAGGATCTGAAGCAACCCCTCCACAAAGGCCTTGGCACCAGACCATTACCAGCTCTGCAAAGCTTATTCCTGGTTTTACAGAAGGAGCTGTGTTTTATTATCAGTTGACCAGGTCCTTAGGGAAGCTCACAAGGCTTAGGCCCCAGGCTGTTACTAGGTCTCCCAAGATTGTTCCCCCTCCCTGCCTGAGGGCACCAATAAAAGCCTTGATTGAACACACAACAGTGTTTTACATGTCAAACACATGTCACCTGGTCTCATATTGCCCATCTGGCAGAACTGCACTTTTCCCAAGAAGAAACTGGAACTTTAAGGAACAGAAGACTTTATGGTTGGTTGTAAGGCCTCTTTAAAAAACTTGTAAGAGGGGCTGGAGAGATGGCTCAGAGGTTAAGAGCATTGCCTGCTCTTCCAAAGGTCCTGAGTTCAATTCCCAGCAACCACATGGTGGCTCACAACCATCTGTAATGAGGTCTGGTGCCCTCTTCTGGTCAGCAGGCATACACACAGAATATTGTACACGTAATAAACAAATATTTAAAAAAAAAAAACTTGTAAGAGGCTTGTTTTTTTTTTTTTTTTTTTTTTTTTAATATAGGGACGTGCCGGGTTTTAAATCAGTCGTGGCTTCTTTGGTTTGGTGGCTAATGGTTTGGAGCCAAATATTTGACCAATCAAGTTGAACAATGTGTCCCTAGCACCCTAATCTCTAACAGCCCTGATTAAAACACATTTATCTTTTGGATGTTTTAGAGGCACTCCTCCCTCAGCTAAATTCTACTTTGTGAGACTGAACTATTTCCAAGGCATTGGCAAATCCTTTTTATCAGCAATTCTACTCTTCTATGTTGCAGCTTAGAAGTGCAGTGCTACCCAACAGATGAGATGTCTTGAGAACGTCCATATAGTTAAATATAAATGTAGATTATATGTAAAACTAAATGCAAAGTGCTTAATATCGAGAAGATACTGGAGAAACTAGGCCTCTCTGAGTGTGGTAACTTGTTTCCATGAATGCATCAAGCATGTTGAAGTTGACAAGAAAGATGTTTGTACACACAGCACCATGCTCCCAATTCTCTAAGTAGATTAAGCCCACAGAGCAAAGTTATTCAGAGGCCTGTCCCTAGGTCCACGAATTAGTAACAACCGCATGAACCTTCTCAACACAGGGAATCTGGCAGCAGGTTCCCATACAGATCCAGGTACGATGCACCATAGTATCTCCCATACCTTACCCTCTGCTCCTCCCCATCTGAAGACAGCATTCCCCCGCTCACCATGTTGTGGTTTTCCAGCTCGCCAAAGCTCTCAGTTCATCATCTCCCTGCAGCAGCAACTGCAGCACAGCACCTGAAACCACTGGCATCAGCTCCTCTGCAAAGCTGAGTCTGAAGGCTCGTGCCTGGAAGAGCCCTCTACTGCTTCTGACTCGTAGGTCATCTGGAGGGCCTGATTGGGCAGTAATGTCTGAGTGACAAGAACACATCCCATAGGGCTATAGTGTACTTAAAGACACAGCACAGTGGTTCCTGGCCATTCCTCCCACCCCAGTCAAAGATCTTTTCTAGATCTACAAACATATGTATTTCAATAGCTCTTGCCCAGGACACCAAAAGCACACACTATCATCTTCTTGCACTCCACTGGAACTTTCCATTTTCCCTCCAGAATATGTAGAGAAGGATGGAGCTAGGAAGAATGTCTTCATGAGCACTATTGCTAGCCAGCACATCTTCCTCCATGGTCAGGTAAATAAATAAACAACTGCATTTTTCAATATTCCCTACATGAACAGGACAGGTAGAACGAATCTTGCCATGTATATAAAAAGTGGGCTTATTCGAATGTTTCTCAAGTTGTAGTCCAGGTTGTCTAAAAATAGCTGCCCACCAATGAAAATTGAAGAATCCAGCAGATTGTTTCTCAGCCTTTTGCCTGAGATCAAGTGAAAAATCCAGGAGTTTTTCAGCCTATGAGGCTCAATGTCTCAGCTGCTTTTAAGTATACACCAAAATTTCAAAATTTCAAAGAAGTAGGCAGTACTTTCCTAGAAGTACTGCTAGGAAAGGAAGGAGTTAGGAAGCCAGAGCGAGAGCACGGAGGCCAAAAAGAAACTTTTTTCTTCAATATACTTTAACTGTGACTGTTGCTACCAGAAGGTAAGATCCTGGTTAAAGTTAGATCATAGACTTTGTTTGATTCAGATTTTTTTTTTTTTTTTGGTGATTTCAAAACAGTATTTATCTGTGTAGCTGTGGAACTCATTCTGTAGGCCAGATTGGTCTCAAACTCTGAAAAGCTCACTGCCTCTGAATCTTATGTGTTGGTGTTAAAAGTGTGCACTGATACCAAGCAGATAAAGGTGGATCCTGTCATCTCAAATTATACAGATTAATGGAGGGTTTTCCGATTTAAAACCTCTAAGTAAAATTTCTCTCAGCTATACTCAATTTTTTGTGTATTAGTTAATTCCAGAGGTAGTCAGTTTGACTACCAAAATTAGCCATCTCAAAATTCAAGACAGAAAAAAATTAGAAAAAAGTCTTACCTGCAGGAGGTGTGAAGTGACTGGAAGTTATTTTTAAAACAGTGTTTTTTCTCAACAAAGGAATCATGAGGATTTTACATAGGGAGTCTTACCAGGGTCATATAATTTTCTCCCTTTTCTTCAGCATGCTCGGTTAACAAATCCACTTCTGAAGATGATCACAATGTAAAAACAGAGTTAGGGACATTCTTACCTCAAAGTCATGTAGGAACATATGTAAATTACAAAAATGATGGAAAGAATTGCCTCTGGCATGTTCATATTTTACCATAAGATCTAGTAAACAAAAACAAGTAGAGGACACTGTAAAAAGTTGATTGTCAATCTTGATGTTTGATTTAAAAGATAACTGTACCAACACCATAATTCTCACACACAGAAAAGATAGAGAACACAAAACCAGAAAACTTCAAGGAAAATTCATTTAACAGCCCTCTATACAGTGTTCCTGGATGAAGGGTTATGATGATCTCTATTACTCTCAGAGCAAAGCTGCTTTTGCTCTGAGCAGGGTGACAAGGCAGGCCACAGCTGCTCCCATACAAGGTAAGAAGAAGTCCATTTTAACTTGACCTGGCTTGATGTCTGTCTCAGGGTTGCAACATCACTGTAGAGAATTTCATTCTTTCTTTTTTCTAACTTTAAAAAATACTTAGTTATGTGATGTTTTGCCTGCATGTGCCTGTTTATATACCTACAGAGGGCAGAAGAAGGGATGAGATACCTGAGATTGGAATTAGAACAAACGGTGAGCTAGCATACAGGGTCCAGAAATGGAATCAGGGTCCTCTGTAAAAAACACTGAGGGCTCTAATTGCTGGGCCATTTATCTAGTCACTCTTTTTAATTTAAAATTAGTCTTGAAAGATCTTAGTTATAAGACAATACATCATTTTTTGTTTTTATCTCTTCATTCCGTCCCTGCCACAAATCCCTTCCAACTTCATCCTTGATAAGTGTGGGTGAATAAGTATGCTGAAATACATGAACACAACCTACTGCTTTCATTTTTGTTGACTGTGTATGTAAGGATAATGGGCTAAATGCTTTTATTAGATAAACAGGAAATTTATGCCTTCCTAAGGCTAATTCTCTCAAATGGAGGAGAATTCTAATTTTTAATCAACTTTAGGTTTCTGACCATGACTAGGCAACCTTGGACAAAAAACATAATCAAGAATAGTAAACTTAGGGTGTGAAATACTTCAGCAGTTAAGAGTGCTGAATATTCTTTCAGATCATCCAGCTTCCATTCCCAGTACAAATAAAATCTCACTAAGATCTGTACTTCCAGTATCAGGGGTTCTGAACCCATCTCTTTGATTTCCTGGCCAGCATAAGAAGAGGAGACTTGCACCACAAAAATTATTTCTCGTTCTGTGTATGGTAGAACATTCTTTTACTACCAGTAATCTGGACATGGGGCGGGAAGATCTCTGCATTTTATAGCCTGTGCTTCATAGTCTACACACACACACACACACACACACACACAGGAAAAAAACAAACCTGAATAACAGTCCAAGAAAAGGAGCACTGGAGAATTGGAACAATATAGTACCTCTTAAATTCATTCCAAGTGTCTGCTACTGCTGCCCATTTAATCCTTTCCAAAAATATATATAGTCAAACATGTGAGCGCGTGCCATTAATTTTAGTCACTGGGAGAAACTGAACATTTGACAGTGGGTCACCACCTTACCAAGTAACCTGAAATGCCCATCATGTGCTGGATATTATTGGATCCATTAAGTTACAAAGTAGGATATGTACAGCTGCAATATGTTTTCAAATGGAAGTGGTATATAAGAAATCTGGACCAAGCGGGTCCTGAGGGCAAAAGGAAGCTACCTGAAGAGATGGCCAAAGGCCAATGGTTTCTACTCCTGTTACAATGCCTTCTGTTGTCAAGCGGACACCTATAGCCTATTCCCTATGATTGGTTGAATGAGGAAGAAAAGACTAGGCCCTGGCTGATGGTTCTATACATCATAATTTAACCACCCAGAGTTGGACAGCTGCAGGATTACAAACCCTTTCTGGGACAACCCTGAAAGATACTTGTGAAGGAAAATCTTCACAGTGGGTAGAAGTTCAAAGAGTAGACATTTTCATACCATTTATTTGGAAGGAGAAATGACCTAATGTGCAAGTAAGAATTCACTGACTGATGGACTCTATCCAGTGGTTTGACTGGAGAATGGGGGATTAGTAAAGAACATGATTAGAAAATTGGTGAGAGAAGACATCTGAGGAAGGAGAATGTGGATAATCTCTGCAAATGGGAGAAGGGTAAAAAGAGATTTATATTCCATGTAAATGCTGATCAAAAGATGATGTCAGCTGTTCAGTACTCAAGTAGACAGGATGACTCTTCCGTGTACAGTCAGCCTCTTTCCCAGCTATTCATGTCCGTGTCCAATGGGCCCATGACCAAAGCGGCCATAGTGCCAAAGATGGGACATAGGCATGGGTTCAACAACATGGACTTGCACTCATCATGGCTGACCTGGCTACAGTTGCTGCTGAGTTGCCATAATGCACATCAGCAGAGACCAAAACTGAGCCCCAGATAGGACACCATTGCTGCAGTGACCAGCCATCAACCTCCTGCCAGGCTGACTACACTGGACAACTTCCTCCATGGAAAGAACAAGTCTTTGTCCTTACTGGAGTAGATACTTACTCTGGTTATGGATTTGCCTTTCCTACAGGCAATGCTTCTGCAAAACCATCGTCAATGCATTTGTACAATTTCTTACTCAGGAGCATGGAATTCCACACAGTATTGCTTCTGACCAGGGAACTCACTTCACAGCCAGAGAAGCATGAGAATGGGCCCACAATCATGGAATCCACTGGTGTTAACATGTTCTCCAGCATCCTTAAGAAACAAGACTGATTCTAAGAATGAATGGACTTGTTCTTTTGAAGAAACAATTACAGCACCAATTAGGTTTCAGCGTCTTGAGGGCTGCGGCATGGTTCTCCAGAAAGCCCTATATGCTCCCAGTCAGCACACACTATATGACATGGTTTCTCCTATAGTCAGAATCAAGGGCTGAAAAAGGAATATTTCCACTCACTATTCCCACTAGTGACCCTCTAGGAAAGCTTTGCTTCCTGGTTTTGCCACCCTAAGTTCTGTTGACCTAGAAGTTTATGTTATCAAAGAGGAAGGGCTCTTGTTAGGAAACAGAGCAAATATTCTATTCAACTTTAAATGCACACTTCCCCCTGGTCATATCAGCTTCAAAGGTTCTTAACCCAACAGACTTAGACAGGAATAACAACCCTTGGCAGGGTGATATAGCCAGATTACCATGGAGAATCTGGACTGTCTCTTCACTATAGAGATAAGAAGGATAATGTCCAGAATGCCAGTGATTTTTTAGAGCATCTCCTTGTGATACTGTGCCTTTTAATTAAAATTAATGAGAAACAAGAACAATATAATCCATTAAGTATGACAAAGGTCACATATTCGTCAAGAATGGAGGTATGGGTCACTTCTCTTGGAAAATATCCAAGACCTTGTGAAGTGCTTACAGAGGTAAGAAAAAATACAGAATGGGCAGCAGAGGATGGCAGGTCTAATACCTTCTATGGCCAGAAACAAGAATTTTAACTGATACGAGTGCTTCTGTTTTAATTTGTTGATAATGCATTTTTAATGTTGTAAGTTCTTTGAATTTCCTTATTAGATGTTACAACATCAATTAAGAGAATATTTGTGGTTATCAGAAGAAGTTTGAGATACTAGAAAGATGTCCTTCAAGGGACATTGCCACTATTCTGAATATATAGTGCATTTGTATTTGGTATACTCATGTCATGTTTAGGCATAATTACAACCCAGTTATTGATTTTCATTTAAAGATTAATAAGGTGATATGACTGTATGCCAAGTTGACAATGGATCGATTATGATAGCTGTTTTTTATTGTCAACTTTACTGTATCTGGAATGAACTACAATACAGAAATGGAGGGCACAGTTTTGATCTGGACCTTAAGGCAAGAAGACAGCCTGCCTTTGATCCAAATACTGAGGACTGGATAACACTTGCTTTTTATCTAGACCTTGAAGATGGAAGGCACACCTTTTATTTTTATCACACCTTCTACTGGAAGGACAATAGAAGAAAGAAGATGGAGTGTTATTTTTTGCTCTATCAGGGGCCCTTAAGTACCAGCCTCATGGCTCAGAATTGTAATCTACAGCAGCCAAGGATCTGAGTGCAAAAAATTAAACTTAAGTACATTCTTTATTTTTCTCTCAAGAGGGAAAAATGAAGTGAAGGGCACACAGAGAGGAAGAATAAGAAAAGTAAGGGAGTAAGGGGAAGAATAAGGAGAAGAAAGGAGAGTAAGGAGAAGTTTTAGAAGAAGCAGAAGAGTCAGAGTAAAATGGCTGATCTTCATGAGCTTTCTAGTTTTTACAGACTTAGTTGGAAAATTCCACAGGCAAGGACAATAATAAAATCACGAAAATGGGCTGGTAGAACCTGACAAGGCAGTACTCCAGAACAGCTGAACTGACCCTGGAAAGAGCCAGCACTCAAGGGGAAATACCTGACATTCCAAACATTAGAAAGTTACTAAACAGGCCTAACTCCTGGATTCACCCATTCTCTTTGTGATAACCAGCTTTGGGCATGCCCAGATTTGTTTGTTACCAAAGATGGGGCCTGATGCCTTCCTGCTCAGTGCCTGTCTTTTAGAGATATTTCTATGTTTTTTCTAAGCCTCTAATTTTGTTGGATTAACTCTATGTAAATTTGAGGGTTAGAACAAAGAGTAAGGTCTCCTGGGGTGTGTGTGTGTGTGTGTGTGTGTGTGTGTGTGTGTGTGTGTAATAATGGCCTGGTAGTGGGAAAATGTTTTCTCCCATAGCTAGGGGAATGTGATCAATAAGTACCAAAAGTATAGGAAACCGTCTGAATTGTTGGAATTAATTCACAAACAAGTAACAGAAAGTGAGCTTCCTATAGGGAATCTACAGCTAAATCAGCCACTTGATTCACAAAGTAATAATACAAAAAATCCTTGCCTTTTGTTTTAGCCCTCACCAAAGCCCTTGGTTCTGATAAGTCACTCAGGAATGAATGACTGAGCAATTACTTTAAAATATTGCAGCTTGTAGCAAATTTCCTACCTTTTTACTCATAGAACAACACGCAAAACCACTGAATTCTACTATGCTACAAAGTCAACCCTGCATCCTCACCCCAGCAAAGCAAAAGGCCTGTACCACTTCTGACTGGCAGGCCTGACTGAAGGACCTGACTAGCTCGTGGTGACTGAGGGACAGGAGCAGGTCCCTTGATGATACAGTGTACTTAAAGACACAGCACAGTGATTCCTGGCACTGCATCCCCCTCCAGACCCAGACTATTCCAAATCTACAGAGAAAAGCATTTCAGTAACACTTGCTTTGACTCTTCAAGCTGACCCAGCAACCATCCTGCACTCCATAGGCTCTTCCCATTCTTCTGCCTGGACTCAATGTGATTAGCCCATTACAATATGCTTCCCCATTTTCCCAGGTGAAAGGGTGCCCAAAATTAAGAGAGATTTTAGGGGAGGGAAAGGAAATGATCTCTGGTTTCACACTGAGATTGGGTGAACTGAAGGTATCTGGATGTAGCAGGGACTTCAGACAAGCAGGAGAGAAAAGCAGAAATGAGAAATAAAAACCAAGATGCTAGGTCTTTCTCCCATCAGAACACTGAATGGCTCCATGGCTTTAGGGGTTTTTCAGTTAAATCCATTTCAATCCCCCGACAATTTAACAAAAATAAAAAGTGTCATCTTTAGAATGTATTGAACACTTAGAGAGACATGGAACAAAGAAGAACGGCACTATAATAGCTACCACATTTTACTCAGTGGGAAAATGAAATCACGCAGTATTAGTCAAGGTTCTGTGCTTGATTGGAACTGACAGAAAAACCTCTCTGTATGTATTTCAAAAGTGGATTTATTAGGCTGTGGTCCAGCTAGTCCAATATTGACTGTCTACCAATAGAAAGTTGAAGAATTCAGTAGCTATTCAACCCATCAGGCCAGTGTTCTCAGATGATCTTCAGGATATACCAAAATTCCTAAGAACTAGGCTCTAAAGAGTAAAGGAATGACCTTCCCAACTATAGGCAGAGAGCAGTCACACAAAGAGAAAGAGCTTCCTTCTTCAATATCCTTTACATATGTAGACTGCCACCAGAAAGTCTCACCCAGATTAAAGGGGGTTCTAATTAGCTCAAAAGATTCAGATTAATATCAAGTCTTATCATTTAAAAACCTTTAGGGAAAGTGTCTCACAGATGTACCCAATTCATTGTGCATTTGTTTCTTCCAGAGGTAATCAGTTTGGCTACCAAGAAAAGCCATCACAACAGCCAAAAGAGAAGGAATGAAAAAAAAATTCTTGCTTACAAAACGCAAGAACATGGGGAAATATTTCCAAACAATAATTTCTTAAAAATGAAAGCATGGGGATTTTACTTAGGGAGTCTGGGCACGTTAAGGTACAGCTCACTCTTTCTAAACATACTCAGTTACCAAATCCACTTCTGAACATTATCACAATTTAAAAGCAGAGATATTTAGGGACATTCTCACCTCAAAGTCATGCAGAAACTTATATAAATTATAAAAGTGATGGATAAGTAATACTGGCATGCTCATCTTGTATCTTAAAGTCTTAGCTGAAAAAAAATCAAGAAAATGGCACCATGATATTCAAGTGCTTTGGATCCTATGCAACCTGTTAATCATGATGTTTCATATAAAAGAGACATGTGTTGATATCACAATACTCACAAAACAACACAGAACACTAATACATGAAACAGGAAATAAAAGTCACCTATTGTACAGTGCTCAATGCTTTTAGTTGGATGTCTTTACTGAGTTATTTTCCACTCAGAACAAGTCTCTTTTTGCCTCTGTGCAGACTCACTCAGAAGAAGACCAGTTTCTTCCAGGAAGGAGGAGAAAGAGTTAATTTTAACTATCCCTGGCTGTGGTCTGTCTCAGCTATGTGATATCACTTGGAGAATTTTATTCTTTTGTCATTTCACCTGTTTTTAATTTTACTTATACATGTGCTTTGCCTCCATATCGCTGCATAGTGCATGTTGAAGTTGACAAGAAAGATGTTTGTACAATACAGGAATATGCTCCCAATTCTCTAAGCAGATTAAGCTCACAGCGCAAAGTTATTCAGAGTTCTGTCCCTAGGTCGAGAAATTAACAAGGACCGTATGGGACTTCACAACACAGGGAATCTGGCGGCAGATTCCCACACGGATCCCGGAAGGACGCACCATAGAGTCTCCCGCACCTCACCCTCTGCTCCTCCCCGTCTGGAGACAGCATTCCCTCGCTCACCATGTTGTGGTTTCTCCAGATCGCCAAAGCTCTCAGTTCATCATCTCCCTGCAGCAGCAACTTCACCGCAGCACACGAAACCACTGCCGCCAGCGCCTCTGTGAAGCAGAGTCTGAAGGCGGGTGCCCGGAAGAGCCCTGCAATGCTTCTGACTGGCAGGTCATCTGGAGGACCGGATTGGCTAGTGAGGCCTGAGTGACAAGAACACCTCCCTTGGGACTATAGTGTGCTTAAAGATACAGCACAGTTATTCCTGGCCATTTCAGTCAATGATCTTTTCTAGATCAGCCAAGATATGCATTTTAATTGCACTTTCCCCTGGCTCCAAAAGCAGACACTGTCATCTTCCTGAACTCCATAGGAACTTTCCATTTTTCCTCCAGGACACATTGTGGCTAGTTGGCTTGCACAGTGCACTGTGCTAGGTGGGTGCAGGGATTTCCTGTCCCACATGTGGAAGAATGGCCAGAATATTAACAGTCAAAGATAGTTTTAAGGTCACAAAAGGAGATGTTTGTTCTGTGGCTTGCTTCATGCTTAGGTTGGATAAATTGAAGATACTTTTTACATGGTTTTCAGAGGGATTTCACACAACAGAAAAGAGGAAAACAGGAACCAGATCTTAAACAAAATGACAGGTTTTTCCCCCATCAGAAAGCTGGATGATGGCTCCATTGCTTTGTGAGTTTTATTCCTGAAGTCCAAAGCAAGCTCCAGGCAAATGAATAAAAATCAAAAGAGTAGTGTTCATGGAAATTTGAATATGTAGAAAATAATGGAACTAGGAAGAATGTCTTCATGAGCACTATTGCCAGCCAGCAGATCTCCCTCCACATGGTCAGGTGAATAAAATATACAACTGCAGTATTCAAGATTCTTTACATGAGCAGGACAGGTAGAACGAAGCTCACCATTATGTAAAAAGTGGGCTCATTAAACTGTCTCACAAGCTGTGGTCCAGGTCATCTAAAAATGGTTGCCTACCAATGAAAACTGAAGAATCCAGGAGACTGATTCTCAGCCTTTTGTCTAAGATCAAGTGATCTTATCCAGTAGTTGTTCAGCCATGAGGCTTGATGTCTTAGGTAGTTTTAAGTATTCGCCAAAATTACAAAGAAATAGGCTCTAATGCTATTAAAGGAATAAGCTTGGTAGCCAGAACTAGAGCAGAGAGGTAAAAAAAAAAGAGACTTTTCTTCTTCAATATACTTTATATGTGACAGCTGCTACAAGAACATGAGGTGCTCATTAAAGTTGGGTCATAGTCTTTGTTTGAATCAGATTTTCTTTTTGAGGTTTCAAGACAGAATTTATCTGTGTAGTGGTGGAACTCATTCTGTAGGCCAGAATGGTCTCAAACTCAGAAAATCCCACTGCCTTTGCCTCTTGAGTGATGGTGTTAAATGGGTGCACTGGCACCACGCAGCCAAAGGTGAGTGCTGTTGTGAGGGCCAGCCATGATACGCTAAATCTGGGCAGATCAACCAAACGATGGTCTTTATTTCTAACCATTATCACCTGACAGAGTAGAACTGGGCCCTTGATAAATTTAATAAGGGGCCTGAGTATCAGTTTTTCCTGAAGCAAAACCTGGTAGCCGGAAAGAATCACAAGCTGCGACAACCCAACGCCTCCCCATGGGCAGACCATTCAAAGGAAATGCCTGGCATTCCAACCACTGTAGATAGGGTCACCTGCACACTCACCAGGACACCCCTAGAAAAATGTCAGCCAATCAGGGGTCCTGAACCTCAGAGACCTCCTCACCCCCACCTTTTCTACTATAAATACCCAGTTCTAACTGAGCTCCGGGCTCTCTGATTATTCCAATATGTTGGACATGCAGAGAGACCAAGTTGGCAAAGTTGATTAAAATAAAGGCTCTTTGCTTTTACATATCGGACGTGGTCTTCTTTGTTAGATTTTTGTGGGGACCCCACGGATTTGGGCATAAAACTATCATCCCAAATTGTCTAGATTAATGGAGAGTTTTCCCATTTCAAAATCTTTAAGTAAAATCTCTCTCAGGAATAATCAATTATTTATGTATTAGTTAATCCCAGAGGTAATCAGTTTGACCACCAAAAATAGCCATCTCAACAGCCAAGACAGAAGAAATGAGAAAAAAAAATCTTGCCTGCAAGAGGCATGAAGTGCATGGGAGTTATTTTCAAAACTGTTTTCCTCAACAAAGGATGAATGGGGATTTTACTTAGGGAGTCTGAACACATGCGATAGAGAATACAAAACCAGAAAACTTCAAGGAAAATTCACCTAACAGCCCTCTATACAGTGCTCTTGTATGAACAGTTATGATGATCTCTATTAATCTCAGAGCAAAGTTGCTTTTGCTCTGAGCAGGCTGACTAGGCAAACAAGACAAGAAGGAGTTCATTATAACTAGCCCTGGCTTGCTGTCTCTCAGGGTTGTGACACCACTGTAGAGAATTTCATTCTTTCTTTTTTTCTAGCATTAAAAAATATTTAGTGATGCGGGAAGGTTCCAGCTAATACTTACCCACCTACTGGGGCATGACCTCATGGACTATTTACTTGGATGCTTCTGGCCCTTCCTTCCTTTGTCTGCTTTCCTCTGGGCCCAGTTTTTGCTGTTTGGTTTGCTTTTGGATCTGATCTTTGCCCACCATTCAAGCAGAACATCCTGACCTTGTACATCTACACCTTAATAAAACACCTGTCTGTTTTCTTAGTACTGAGCTAGTTTGAGATTCCTTTTTTGTTAAGCGTCCAATCATCTCTGCCCTTAAATATGAATATGCCTGTGCACAGCACCTACCGAGGGCAGAAGAAGGGAGAAGATACCTGGGACTGGAATTACAGCATATGGTTAGCTAGCATGCAGGGTTAAGAAATGGAATCAGGGTCCTTTGTAAAAACACTCAGTGCTCTCCTTGCTGAGCCATCTATCAAGCCCCTCTTTTTAATTGAATATTAATCTTAAAAATTGTTTGTTAAAAGACATTACATCACTCTTTGGTTTTATCTCTTCATTCCATCCCTGCCACAAATCCCTTCCAACTTCATCCTTGTTAAATGTAGATAAATAAGTATGCTGAAATATACGAATGCAAGCTCCTGTTTTCGTTTATGTTGGTTGTGTATATAAGAATAATGGGCAAACTACTTTTAATTGGATATGTTTGTCCAACTAGAGAGCTCATCTCAGCCTGAGGCTAATTTTCTCAAATGGAAGAGAATTCTACTTTTTAATCAACATCAGATTTCTGACCCTGACTAGGCATCCTTGGACAGGAAATGTAATTAAGAAAAAAAACTTAGGGTGAAAATACTTTAGCAGTTAAGAACACTGAATATTCTTTCAGAGCATCCAGCTTCTATTCCCAGTACATAAAGGAGCACACTAATATCTGGACCTCCAGTACCAGCGGTTCTGAAACCAACTCCTGGATTCCCTGGCCACCATAAGAAAAGAATACTTGCGCCATAAAAATTTTTTCAAGCTGTGTGTGGTAGTACTTTCCTTTTGTATCAGTCATCTGGACACAGAGGCAGGAAGATCAAACACTGTGTGTTTTAGAGCCTCTGCTATAGTCTACAAACAAAAACCACACACACTCAGGAAAAGAAGAAAGCTGAATAGCATACAAGAAAAGGAGCACTGGAGAATTGGAACAATATTACCTCTCAAATTTATTCCAAGTGTCTGCCACTGCTGCCCATATAATCATTTTGAGAAATAAATATAGTTGGATGTAAGCACATGCCATTAATTCCATTCACTGGGAAAAACTGAACATTTGACAATGCCCATCATGAACTGGGTATTATTAGATCCATCAAGTTATAAAGTAGGACATGTACAGCTGCAATCTGTTATCAAATGGAAATGCTATATACGAGATCAGGGCCAAGGAGGTCCTGAAGGCACAAGAAAGCTACATGGATAAATGGCTAAATGCCAATGGTTCCTACTTCTCTTACAATGCCTTCTGCTGCCAAACATACACCTATAGTCTCATGGGGTATTCTCTATGATTGGTTGAAAGAGGAAGAGAAGATTAGACCCTGGCTGATGGTACTATCCATCATGCTGGAACCACCCAGAATTGGACAGCTGTGGGATTACAATCCCTGTTAAGGACAAGTCTGAAAGAGTCTTGTAAATGGAAATCTTCACAGTGAGCAGGAGTTCAAACAGTACACATTTTCCCATGGTTTACTTGGAAGGAGAAATGATCTAATGTGCAACTGACAATTCACTGATTAATGGACTCTATCCAGTGGTTTGACTGGATGTTTAGGGATTAGTAAAGAGCATGATTAGAAAATTAGTGAGAGAAGAAATCTGAGGAAGAAGAATGTGGATAATCTCTGCAAATGGGAAAAGGGTATAAAGATCCTTGTATTTCATGTAAATGCTGATCAAAAGGTGAATTCAGCTGAGGAGTTCAGTACTCAAGTAGACAGGATGACTCTTCTGTGGATAGTCAGCCAGCCTCTTTTCCCAGTTATTCATGTCAGTGTCCAATGGGCCCATGACCAAAGTGGCCATATTGCCAAAATATTGCATTTTCAAAGCTAGGGATTCAATAAGTACTTATTTAGCTTCTGGATCTATTACCCCTATATCTACAACTGTAGTTAATCTTTGTAAAAAGTCACTAAAGTGTCCTCTTGGGCCTTGTATGACATTTTTTGCTGCAATTCTTCCTATTTCTTGCATCCAAGCATTCAAGACTTAGGGACAAGGTGTGTTCGTTGAAAATAGCTTGACTATGGATTAGCATAATGACCTTAGCCAAGAATTTTACCTTTAGAAGCCTCAAATCATTTGACTCTACCTTGCTGTTCTAGGTCTTTAGCCTCCTCTCTCCAATAGCACTTCCACTGTAAGTGAAGCTCATCTTCTGGCACCATTGAGACAAATTGAAGCCAATTATGTGACTATTGCTTGAAGCCCATGTTTTTATCATCTCCTTGACAAATGGTGAATGCATAAAGTACTGCTGCTTTCTTAATTTCATTTAAATCTTTCATACCTATAGGTTTCCATTTACATTTTCTGTATACATCTGTATAATGAGCATTTGCTGACTTTTCGGAGGTAATAAGAGAATAAGTAACTAAAACTATTAGTAAGCCACCTCTGACTCTGAGAGGTACTGGCAATACTAAATCATCTGCCTGTACCACCATTTCTTGCTTATAAGTTCTGACAAGTTCCTCAATAGATTCAATTTTTTAATATTTGTCTTCTGTGAAGCCTGGATCTCTTTACATGTAAATAATTTTAATGATTTTATATATTCAATTAATTTCTGGTTCTCATTCTGCATATGTGATTCCAAGTTCTTAAATTTTCTATTAATGAAATCTTCTTATCTTTTGCTTTTTAAATCTTCTTACCTTTAAGTATTATTTGAATAGTGTGTAGATTGCCTTGCTGGAGGGATACTCTATCTGCTAGCTTATCATAACATTTTAAGAGATTTTGATTGTCATTTCAACAGTATCAATCCTTTCATATAATCTCTCAGTACCCCTTAGTAAGAATTCACAACCCATAGACATAGATTGAATATTGCCTGTCAAATTAAAGTTATCATTTTCAATGGTATAAATCCTTTCAGCTAAAGATTGTATCCTTTCCAAAGGTTTCTCATTCTTGACTCTATTATCATATCATTTCTTTAAGGATATAATATGAAGAGAAAAACTAATAGCCACTATAATCACAAAAATATATGTACAATGTAACTCATATAGCTCTTGTAGAATTCCATCCATAGTAGAAAAAACAGCAAGAACTTGCAAAGGCTTCCAAATCAGCTGGTAGTCTCAAATGACTGCATAAGAAAGTTTCAAGTGGAATACTGCAAAAGATTTAAATGCAGGTGGAAATGCAATCAGCTGAAACATGCTTTTTATTAAACCTGTGGAATGTTATATCTTTGTACAATTCAGCAATGTGAAAGTTAAATCATACAGAAAACAAACCCAGGTCATTTTCTTGTGTTTTCTTGCACAATTCTCTTGAATTGTGGAATATTACAGAGGTCCCAGTTCATTAATTCCAAAAGAATGCTCTTGCTTCTCTTTAAGGAGAAATACCATTTGAATAATTACTTAAATAATATAAAAACATAAGTAATGTTATAAAGTATTGCTATGTTAATTATATATTAACCATAT